TAGTAACAAGAAGCTTTTAGAAACAGGTGCCTTACTAGTAGTAACAAATGGCGCCACTTCTTCCGGGTCTTTCGAACGTCCTTTCGACGGTCCGTGACTGAGGACCCTGTGGAGTCGATCACCAAGTGGTTCCGAGACCAGCCCCTTGGCCCTGGAGTGGCAAGCTCCAACCCTTATAGAACAAGACTCTAAGGAACCTAGTAGCGATGGCCTCTAACCTAGAAGCAATGGCCTCCCTGATCATTTGGACAGCGATTTATTGAGGATGTTCATGATCCATGAACCTACAGATGTTTGATTTCAATTCAGACAGCTCGTTGCAAAACAAGAAACTTTTGAACCGATTTGAAGAGCAATCATTGTGACTTTAAGTCTAAGAGTTTTTGGCAGTGGGTCCAAGAACTGGATGCCTGCCGTAAGGGTCTGGCAGTTGGCATTCAGTGCTAAAGGTCAGGAAGGCAAACCGCTTCCTGTTGGAGCTTAGACACTCTTGTCTCGAGACTCCCGAGCAACAGGACAAAGGCATGGATGAACATCTGCAGAATGTGGAGAGCTTTCTGAGTGAACCTTGAACTTTCGAGTTGCCAAGGCTCTACTCCAAGAAGCTGCGATGGCGAGATGTTCAACTCGAGGCTGGGCCAGTCGTGAAAGTGAGCCACAGGTCATCCAACCACTTCCAAGCATGCATCATCCTCACGTGTATTGTACTTGAGCATGGAACAAAGAACGACAGAGAAATAATGAGACATGGACATGTTTGTAATTTTGCTAGAACTGATGATTGACTGGTACAACAGTTATATAATGTTCTAAGTGGCTTCCCTAAAAAGCACAGATTTTCCAGACTTGACACGTTCTCCAGTGCCTTTGGAAACTGGAGTCGGTTGCGCATATCGGCGGTGCTACCCATTGCAGCCCATTGCACTTCAGCGTTTTTGTGAACATATGTCCAACTCTGATCCCCAAGCTTGTGGCCTGAATCACCCGTCTCAGAGATCAAATGGCCAAACTTCAGCCTTCTTCAGTCCACTCACCTAGTTCCCTCCTCCCCCCAAAACCACCACCCGACCAACGGTGAACCTAAACCTTCGTTCAACCACAACGGTCGCCTCACCCGGGCGCTTCGGCTGCTCGCTCTGAGGCACTCTCGCCCGTTCTGCAGGAGTTGGCGGAGAAGGCGACGAGACGACGGTAGGTCCGAGGACGGCAGGTCCGAGGTCCCGGTTTGAGGGGGCTGGTCTCAAGAGCGTCCCAGGGGATCGCGGGAAAGACCTGTGCTTCTTTCGTTCACAACATCGTTTCCCACTTCCCCCCTGAAATAGTGGAGACCAATCCCGTAAAGTGCGTTCAACACGAATTGCGACTGCCAGCGGGTGCATTGCGCACATCTCCCACATGCATGAGGATGCCGACTTTGGTTTGGCCTTACAATGCTCTCGGAAGGCAGAAGGGTGGCGGGTGGCCTGGGGATGGTCGCAGGGCTTGGGGATGGTCGCTGAGAATCACGACTTGCATGGCCGATCCAGGATCAGGACGACATGACCTCCCACTGCCGTGACTCCGCTGTTGCCAGGTTTATGGGCAAGACATCAATGGGCTCCGCAGGGCACGAGCCTCAAGGGCCGAAGTCTCACTGTGCTCAAGAGGCTTCCTCCAGATGAGTTTGCCCTTCTTACACGTGGACAGCCAATTGGGTACGAACAATCATGTAACCAAACATGTAGCCATGTAGCCGCAGCTTGGTTTGTAAAGTGGCAAAGATCCGCAAATACCCTCCTGTTTGCATTTGTTTGCCAATGTTTGCCGGTACCTACTTGTTGCTCCCCAGTGAATAGACCTCATAAACCTTCTGGTTTATCAGCAGATGCAGTCAGGGAGATGTGAGAACAGGGACTTTCCTAGGAAGATCATAATAGGTTGAAGGCCATTGCTTCTAGGTTGGAGGCCATCGCTAATGAGGTTGGAGGCCATTCCTATTTGGTTGCGACGCATCAGCATGGCAGCTCCATTTTGAGTCGGACGCTTCTCTGAGCAACGAACCACCAAATCTCGACCTGGCAATTCAAGAGCACTTGTGAGCCTGATAGGAGCCTTGCTCTCTAGTCTCTAGTCTGGATGACACCTGATAGGTAAACCAGGTCAGAGCCTGATCTCCAATTCAGCAGTACCTGGCGTAATGAGTTGGGACTCAAGGTAGTCACATCAGTGGAGCAACAACGAAAAGCTGCCGGAGAGAAGGCCAGATTGATTCAATTGGTGTGGGAGACTTGGTGTGCGGTTCAAGGGCGCTTTAACGTTCTCGAAACATATATATATATATAACTTTTCTGTACACAGCCCCCCGCATTCGATCATTGTTTTACATACATTCTGGCACATTCAAGACATGGTGGATTGGCAGGAGATTTCATCCATCTATATAGTAGGAACAGGTGGCTCCCAGATAGGGGAGACAGCTACCTAGGCTGAAGCTGAAGCTGAACAAAGGGATCCTGGTGTGCAGGTCATACGATGCCAGGAGCCCCTAGTAGCTTCTTGCTCCTGGTAGCAAGGCCAGGAGCCCCTACTAGCGTCCTTGGGTTCCAAACATCTGGGTAAAGCACGCCCACAATTTTGAGAAGGCTTTTGTTTCATGCTATAGACGTGGAGGCAAGCAGAGTTTGTATCTCAGCAACACCACTAGACATTCGCTGAGAGGAAGACATCATCCAGGACTCAGGAGATTGATTTATTGTTTGTAGTTTCCATTTGCATCCAATTGCTAACCTTTGACACCAGGTTCTTCTCAGAGTGTGTGTGGTGTACTCCAGTGTCCCCTGCTTCCATGCAGTATTATGTATATATATATATGCTGTACATATCGAGGCTGTTGCGCAGCTTTCAACGTACCCACACGATGACCAGACGTCTTGGAGATGTTCCCAGGTCATTTCCTTTCGGTTCTTTTATGTGTTATTCCGACTTGACCGGTGGTTTTCCGGCTTTTAACCCACAACGCTTCCAGAACTGCGAGGTGCCAGCAGTTCTGCGGCAGGTGCGGCAGCGAAGATCAGTGGAAACAGGTGTTCTGCACAAACCGGCAACTCGTGTGAGCCATAGTTCCAATCATGTTTAAATTTGGAGGGATTGGAGATGGGTAAAACCTAATCAGGGGACTCAGGAGTCCAGTCAATATCCAGTGCTTTTTGGGGAAAAGACAATTTTTCTAGTTGGTTGGAGGAGGCCATCGCTACTGTGGTGGAGGCCATCACTATTAGTATCTCAAAAGAAGATTGTTTCTTTTTAGTTATTAATTTTCTGATTTCAAAAGAGGCTGATGGATTTCCTCCAGGAGGACAAAGATTTGCCTGCTGCCGTGAGCATGCTGGTGCGATCTGCTGCACTCACAGGAAGAGTCCGCGGCCGAGCCAGTCTTCCAATACCGAGTGAACTCCAACATCTTAATTTGTCATGTTTCTCGAAATATCTAGGAACCAAATCATTAGCGTGAGCTATTCTCCGTCCTACCTAGAAGCTAACTTAGCCCTTGCTCAAATATATAAGTAGGCGTCTACTTAATTAAGCAGAAGGGGGCAGAGCGGGCCGACTTTGAGACATTCAGAAAACCCTATGGCATCCTATGGCCAACTTTATATATAACTTAGTTTATAACTCTCCTTGTCCCTGGGAGAAAGCTCACAAAAACGCCAACGTACACAGAAGCTTGAAGCTCTTTGAGTCTTTCTGATCCCGGCTGGGAGCAATTCAATTCTAATTCTTGTTTCTAATAGCTTCTTGTTCCTAGTAGTAAGGCCAGGAGCCCCTAGTAGCGTCCTTGCTCCTAATAGCGATGTTTTTTGCTCCTCTGTATCCGTTCCCGGTGTGAGATAGCCGAGGTTTGGTTAGATGTGCACCTAGAAGATGTGTCCCGGCTGGGAGCACCCACTTCGGCTCAGGCAGTGTTGGACAAACTGAGATGGTCTACAGAATATACTCCGGTGGTTCGTTCTCGGTACTTAATTGAGCGTGGACAAGCCTCGAGGTCTTGCAGTCTCACTCCACAGCAAGAGGATGATGGCAAAGGAACGACACTGTGACAACCACTTTGGATTGGTCTTGCAAAACAAGCTCTAGAATGTGGAAGACACATACCCATACATACCCCACATCCTTCCCAAAGTCAGGCAATCAGTTGCCTGGTCGGGTTTGTTTGGTTTCCTGACATCGTGCCCTCTGTTTGTGCCAGCTCCTGGTGGACTTGCGGCGGATCGTGTACCGCTTGCTGGGCAGGCGCTGTGTGGCCAACGGGGCAATTTCATTTTTTCGGCAACACTTCGGTGGCCTTCATTTTTGCATAGTAGCGTCCTTGCTCCTACTAGCGATGCCAGGAGCCCCTAGTAGCTTCTTGTTCCTAATAGTAAGGGCAGGAGCCTCAAGCAGCAATTCAATTCTATTTATTTATTGTTTCTAATAGCTTCTTGTTCCCAGAAAGAAGGCCAGGAGCCCCGAGAAGCGTCCTTGCTCCTAGTAGCGATGCCCTTTGCTCCTAGTAGCGTCTTTTTTGCTTCATTTTTGCACACCCCATCAGTGAGGTGGAAGGCCCTGGAAAGGTAGCGGTGCTTGGGTAGACATGGGGGCCGATGGTTTAGCGCCGGTCGCTAAACTGTCGAAATTGTGAAGATTTGATCCTCAGGTGTTCAATTCCTATTTTGTGTTTTCACGGCCGGGCTGTGTGAAAGGAGCATCAGTTGTTTTTGTTGGACCATGGAGGATGAAGGATTCGGGTCTCCAAGCGCCCCAAAGGGCCACTGTTTCACCCTCGACCGCGTCAGGGACACCATCACGGAGACGCGGAGTGATCACTCGGGCGTCGCTGGGCGATCCACTTCGTCGCGGGTGGAGCTCGGCAGATGGTCACATAGTGGATATACTTGGCCGGTTTGACAGGGAAATTCCGAGTTTGGTCGTCATATGTCATCATGCACAGGAGTTCATACACACATAAATCATGATGAATCTCATTTTTTTCCTCACTACACAAGTGGAAGGGCTGCGAGGGGTGGGATTGACCGCAAGTCGGTGTGGTTGAGAAAGGCGTTTCCTTTGACGAACCATTGTTGAGTGAGTTTCCCTCATCAAACTCAACGACTGCCTCGGTGGTGGTCCGAACAGCGGGAAGATCGGTTCTGGACGACTGGACGATGACCAAGGTCACCAGCAGCAAGATCGTCCTGGATCCACAAAAGCTGCCCCCCGCGGAGGCCGTTCTAGCCTGCTTTGGGTCGCGGCCTTTTAAGCTGAGTTGAGCACGCAGCTTACATAGTCACTGACGGGTTCATTCCCATACAGCAGTGGCTGAGAAAGGGAAGGTTGGAGAGAACATCTCTGGGGTTGTTGTTATTGTTTGCATAGCGTGGAAAGCTGTGCTCGACTTAAACTGTTGTGATGATATCCACAGTGTGCGAAGCCTCAGAGTTGAGCGCAGCGCGCGTGAGGTTGAAACTTGGTTGATCCTGCCAGTAGTCATGTGCTTGTCTGAAAGATTCATCTACATGGCGAAACTGCGAATGGCTCATTAAAGCAGTTGTAGTTAATTTGATGGTCGCTGCTACATGGATAGCTGTGGTAATTCTAGAGCTAATACATGCGTCAAAGCCCGACTTTGCAGAAGGGTTGGTTTTATTAGATACAGAACCAACCCAGGCTCCGCCCGGTCGTGTGGTGATACATGATAACTCGACGTGGAAGGGTCCAAGCCGGTCCAGGCTGTTTGGGATTTGCCGAGCGCCACTCAAAGAGCCCCACTTGAGCTGTTCTTTGTAGGCTTCCTTTCCTTAGGCATACCAAACTGACCGTGTGCATAGGGTGTGACCAGAGGAGACTTCTTTGCTGAGAAGTGCTTTTGAGGTTGCTAGTCAAGTCTTGATTGGCATGGCATGCTTGGAAATACAGAGATTAGCTTCCATGCATTCCATGATTCATTGGGAAGTTGATTGAGACGCCTGCAATGGGTTGGAGGCCAAATAATTCATATCAGTTATAATAGCATGCAGCATTACGTATAAATCGGCTCCGCGTTTCCCTTGGAGGATCTGCTGAGATGGCCTTGGTCGCATCGCTGGCAGATGTCGGGGCCACTGGCAGCTGGAGGGACTGGTTGATCAGACTTGGTTGCGGTCCCACAGCCAAGAAAGATCCAAGAATACCCCCTAGGCCCTAGACTTAGAGAGTATTTTTTTTGTTTTGGTATCAGGTGGCTACCAAAACACAGTCTATGTGCGGATGAAGAAACACGTTTGCTTTCTTTGAAGCCCCTGGTTCGAGATGGTGTCGCTGGAAGCGAGGGTGGAAAGCCACCCAAAGCATGTCCTTTGTCAAAGCAGACGGACCGGTCTGTCAAAAACATCACTTTGACCAGCTTTGGTGACAGGAACTTCAGCCTGGTTGAGGGGACTGTTTTGATATGTTTTGATCTTGTTACTCAGTTCCAATTGCTGATCAGGCCTTCCACCCTGGGTTGCGTTGCATTTGGCAACATCCAGATGATTTATACAGCAGGTATACCACCTAGCTAATAGCTGGATGAAGTCCTTTGGTCACCACCTCAGAAGCATCAAACACACGTGGTTTTGCTTTAACTTTTGACCCACTTGCTGTCTGTCTCGTCTACGATCGATTTGAACGGAGGTTCCGCTCCATCGTCGAGCACCACCTGCTTGACACGACGAAGGGTGAAGGAGAGCAGGCTGTTTGCGGATCGTGGGGGGTCAGCTGTCTGCGGAACGGGTTGGCCAGTTCAACAGCCCTTCGGTTACCTGGATCAACCAGACATATGGAGGGCTGTGACCCTTTCTTTTTTTCAATTCTTGGCGAGGTGTGGTTGGTTTACCAAAGCATACCAAAGCACTGTTCATTTTAGTTATCTATTCTAATTTTGATTGCGCTGAATATTGCAAGTTCTACTTGATTTCAACACTTCAATGATGTGAACATGCGCAAAATCCGCTATAGCCTTTGGTTCGTCATTGCAGCAGATCCTGTGTTCTTCGGTTCAGAGCGATTCGGCGGTCAATGGGGAACTCTTCAGAAGGTCCTTCTCTGCTGGGGTGATGTTCCAAGTCTTACCCTTCCAGGCCACGCCAGTGGAGACAGCCGTGTTTGAGGCCTTTGAGGCGGAGAAACGTGTGGCTCAAAATGTCAGACGCTTTTGGACCGCTTTGCACTTGGTGGCCGCTTTACGAATGACCCAGAAAGTGTCCAGGGTTTTTGGCTCTTGATATTTGGCGACAATAGACTGATTGAACAGAGTCCGAGGCATTTCCCACGCGGGTTCTGGGGTTGGCTTCGTGCCAGCTGGCGACAAAGAAAGATGTGCTTGAGGTTTGATGCAATCGAAAAGGTGTGTGCATGTATATAATTCTTCTCATGTTTTCGTGAGCTTTGCAAGTGTCAATCCCCTACTGTACCTTGCCCCTTTTTTGGTTTAGAAGGGAGAACAGGATGTGCGGGAAGACAAATGTTGATGGAGTGTTGGAGCATGAACGTGGGGGTTCATCTTTTGGGTGACTCATCCAAGATCCAAGTTGATTGCGATATAACATTGATTCATATTGTATAATAAATAGAATCAAAACAATAAATCAAATTCGATCTATTTTTTTATTTACAAATGCCTTTTGTAAATTAAAAAAATACAAAAAAAACAAACAATAAATCAAAATCTATTAATACTTTAATTTACAAAAACCTTTTGTAAATAAAACACAATTATAGTTAATAGAGTGACTCAGTGGCATCCGGCTATTTAAAAAAAATAAAATTCCTTTTAGGCATATATATATATATGCTCGATTACCATTACCGTTTTTTTTTGTGGGTATGTCTTTGAGTGAATCAGTGAAATCCCAGACGCAAGGTGCTGGTTGGTAGTGAAGGGTCCCTGAGAGTCTCAGCCTAGAGAGCACCATGAAAGGTCTCAGTCTCTCCTGTTTGACACGTTGAGAAGTTGAATGCGACGGCATCCAGGCAAGGAAGAGCGACGACCAAGTGCCTGACTGGGCACATGGTGCTTTCGCGGCGATGGCACGGCAGCCGAGGATAGGAATGGTGGAATGGGGGGATTTGGCAAGACATGGGACAGTGGCAGTTAGGAGCAAGAAGCTACTAGGGGTTCTGGCATCGCTACTAGGAGCAAGAAGCTACTAGGGGCTCCTGGCATGGATACTAGGAGCAAGAAGCTACTAGGGGCTCCTGGCATCGCTACTAGGAGCAAGAAGCTACTAGGGGCTCCTGGCATCGCTACTAGGAGCAAGAAGCTACTAGGGGCTCCTGGCATCGCCACTAGGAGCAAGAAGCTAATAGGGGCTCCTGGCCGTACTATATACTAGGAGCAAGGACGCTACTACGTTTTTTCTTTTCGAACGAGTTGGGTCGTGCCCAAAAATCAACTCTCTGGGGATGTGTGTTTTCGAACCTCATGAAACCCCTATTCATGTGGTTGGGCTTTTGGTACAGCGGTCTTCCCTGGGTGGACACTTGCTGGCTTGAGGCGGCATGAGCTTTGCTAGCAACAGCAGGTCTAGTGGGGCGTTGAGGACCAATACTTCCATCAAGATCAAATCCTGTGCATCTTATGCACGTATCATTCAAACCAGTGTTTCTCGAAAGCTAGCTTGGTGTGGCAACTACCGCTCAGATGACAAGGTGACAAGGCCAGATCTGTTGGACTGCCTGAATTAGCCGCAGCCAACAGGTTGGAATCCAAACGAAGTTGTGCAGTGAAGTCTACAAGTGGAGAGCTCACGTATAAATCACACAACTCAACATGTGTATCCATGGGTTTCATGGATTTGGCTTTGGTCCATACCCAAATTTGAGTTTGGATTCCTATGCTTCCCAACAATATTGAATTCAGGTTCTAGCTTTTTGACCCACCGGCTGCCTGGTTCTCAGGAACAACCCATTGTATACTATTTTCTGGCAATTTTCAGGTTTCTCCTTTTTCCTTCACCAGCAACTTCCTTAGGTCCTGGAATACGTGGCGTCCCTGAACCGCAGGCGATTTTGTGAGCCGCTTTCAGCTGTTTTTTATGTGATCCAATGATGGGGTCAATGCAGGGAACGATCTATTTAGAGGCACCAACATCAAAACGGCATGCTCAGCATGTTACATGACATGTTTTCACACACCCAGTTGAAATCCGAGGCATTGCGGAACCCCCGTTCTTGCGAGGGGTGAGAATGAACACCAATGTGTTTGGGTTCGCAGAATTGGGCCCTGGCGAGAGATCCTTGAATTATGTAAACTACACTGCAAGTAATTTCCACAAGAAGTGCCAAAGCTTGGAGTTCTATGCTGTACCCACCATAGCTTGAACACCTTCTCCGAATCGAACAAAGGTTTTTCTTTTGTATTTTTCTTGCCTTTTTCGTGGGCAAGTCTTCGTTTGCAAGCTTTTGCTGGGGCATACAGCTTGGCACAGAAGGTCGTGAAACCACGTCAGTGGCATAAATCCTCACCCCAAGGTTACTAGCAGTTCCCTTCCCAGGTTTATATTACCGCAAGAATCTGAGTTGACTTTTGATAGACTAAGCTTCCTGCTTTGCATCGCGCGATGGAATAACCCATGACTTACCCGACTTAGTTGACCCCATCTAGCCATACTGGGGTACAGTGAGCCAGAAAGTTGGTGCTGGACTTCTGGGAATGATCGGCCTATATTGGCCTCCTTACCCTTTTAGACTCATTTACTTTTGCGTGCTTGCAGCCCATTCTTTAACGGTAAGGCAGACTGAGGCAGCCAAGTGGCTTAGAGGAAGAGAAAGAGCCTTGAGCAAATTTGAAAGGCCCAGGAGTTAAGTCTCTTATTGCAGCTGTGCGCAAACACCGCGGTTCCAAGAGACTGACAACCGCTGGCAGATGGTGTTCCGAATCCGATTCCTGCTTTCATGGGTTTTGCCAGGCCGGAACCAACAATGCTCCGAGAGCACGAGTTCGACTCCCTCGCGGCCACTATTGTCTGGAAGACCCAGGGGTTCAACTGAGTGGAGCTGGGTGGAGGAATTGACGGGCAAACATTGAGATACATGGTGAGAGTCTCTAATTATCCAAGAACTTTGAACCGCTTCATGATCCTGGAATCTCACTTTTGAACATGTGCCAACATGTGCTAGCCATCCAAAGGATGCCAGCTAACCATTTCAACCACTGAAACCAAAAGCCTCAGCCATTCCCAGCCGGAGCCGCTCTTCGCTGAAGACGCCGCGGCGACCTGAGGCCTTGAGCTGCGAGATCTCGTTGCCCGGAGCGCCCTTGGCCAAAGCATCTCCGCAGTTGCAAGAGAAGCTCGCGCACGTGAAGGTACTGCGAGAAGGGTGTTGGCAGTGGGGGTGTGGCGGTGCTTTTGCGGGTGTTGTTTGTGTTGAAGAAGAGGCATGGATGTGTCGTTGGTCTTGGTTCTTTTAAAAGCTTCGGTGTAGGAGGTGCTGCTTCGCCTACTCAAGGGGCCTCAAGTCCGTGGAGGGTTGCCGTTTTGATTCCAATTGCTCCCTCCTGCATTTTTTTCTGTGAAACACAACCACGTTTCGCATTTGCCTATGAGCCTATGAGCTTGATTTTGCCTCCACGTTTTGTCTCAGGCCACACTTTTGTGAGGATGCCAGGTTGGCAGGGGTAGACATCTACCCAAACATGTGGACTGCGGAGTGGCCACAGAAGCAGATTCCGGCCCTGCCAGATGATCATGTCGCAAGTGATCACCACGCACTTCCATGCAAACGCAGAGGTGGGCGGGGATACAGGATACTGACGCAGTACTGCAAGATCTGGGGCAAGATTTGTAGCTCCGGCTTGCCAACGTCCTACTCTGGTCTGCGGCCTTTTCATCATGCAGTTGCCCAGGTGCCACGTCACCCGCCACCACCTCCTGTATATAGTGTTGATTTGTGTTCAAATGGCCGGGACAAGGGACAATATATACCTTAATCAACTTTAATCAACTTTAAGCAGCCAAAGCATGGTAGCAATGCCATCACGGATCAATCCAAACCCACCCACTACGGACTTCCAAGTGATCTATTTCACGGTCCTTGTTGCGGGGGGCCACCTGGTGCGGGGGGCGTCTCGGTCGAGACTCCGCCCGACTTGAAAGAACGAAGAGGAAATGCCTCTGCCGCCTGTCGCTTGGGGGAATCCAGCTGGACCTTGGAATCCGAGAACCCATTCGCAAGTGAAGGGACGCTTGGAGTTTTTTTGTCCTCCATATGGCCTCTTTCTTCGTGGGAACCTGTCTTTGTTGGAACAGGTGCGGATGCCCACTCGCGGCATAGCGGTCTCCACCTACTTCCAGGTGGACCAATTGATGAGAGAGTTCAGCAGAACAGATGGTTGTCTGTTTCAGATTATTGATTTCCAAATTTCCAGGAGTTCAAACTTTTGGTTGTTGATACTGTAAATCTCTGGATGCAAGCAACCTGAGTGCCCAGGGGTAGCCCGTGGGCTTCGCAGATGCACATCCATCAACTGTTTCAAAATCCTCAACGATGCAGGATCCCTGAAATTAGTGGCCTCCACCCTAGTAGCAATGGCCTCCACCCTAGTAGCGATGGCCAGGCCTCCATAAACTCAGACTGTCTCCCAGTCTCCTTCCCCCTAAGGCCGTGTTGAAATATGGTGTTCCTTTCACTGGAGAGTATTCGGTCGAATGATCAGGAACCCATTCTGAACCGACCCTACTCTTCGAACCGTGGTAAACGACGGTTTGATGTTCAGCTTCGTTGGCTCCCTTAAAATTAAAAAACGAGGAAGCCCTCCACTGCATCAGGTGAACATATATCTTCAGTTGTGATTCGCCTCTTTCATGGCCAGGCTTCGGCTCATCTGCTTATGGACATTGCACGGCTGTCGCTCGGCGTGTGCTGTGGACAGCACAGCCCCGCGAACCCAGCACTTGGTCCATCCAATAGGGTCTTTCACGTTTGTTTCTTGCTTTCAGTCTTTTTGACACTTGCCAAAATCGATTGTATATGCTTGGGTTGCTTGGACCTGCAAAAGCCTGATGTTCTGCTCGGTGAGGGCTGGCTAGGAGCTAGGGTTTTCATGAAAAAGAATCTCAAGCCCTTTGGGAGATTGCCAGGACACCAGGAATCCTCTTTCACACTCCGACATCGTCCTCAGCTATCACGAGATCGTGCAACCTATCTTGAACCCTTCAAATATTCAAGAACAGAGACAGTTGATATACACTTAGCTCTTGACCATGAAGCAGCCCTGACGAATCAGTTTCCGCCCCAATTTTGTTTCTGGCGTATTTGGAAGGTTACAAAGGTCCTATGGGATATTCTGTCCCAAAACCATCAGTTGAGGCTTCAGCTGGATGCGGACTTTGGCCAAGGAGCCATGGTCAGGGTTCCTCAGTGCCGCCCGTGGGCGTTCGGGGGCGAAGAGTTCGGTGCCACGGATTCTTCAAAGGTTTGTTGAAGTCGAGCAAAATGCACTGTATCAGCCCTGCAGATGATGTATACCGACACTGTAGTGGAAGTATCACGAGTTCTTCATGTGGAAGACCGCGGGTTCTATCCAGATTGCTTGTGGATGCTCATCTCTTTCATGTCACTTGGAGTATGCCTGGGGACTTCTTTGTCTTTCGTGCTATGACGGCTCAAGTTTTCCAGCTCCAGCGGTCCGTACTATCGGTCCCTCCTCATCGTGTGCCTTTGAAAAGCAGTCACCGGATGTGGCCATTCTCCTGCTGCAGCGTCCCCACCCCGGTGGTGGAGACACCATTGGTGGCTGCCCTACCGGCTGACTATGTAGTGCCGAAGGTCTGGGAGCATACGGAGCAAGGCCTGGTCTGGCAGAAAGGTTGTCCAGATGAGCTGTGAAGCCGCGAAGTGGTAACTCCCTGAAGAAATGGCAACCCCCTTAAGAAGCGGCGAGTTCACATTTGACGGGCTGTCGAAATTCTTAGAGTATCCTCAAGCAGATAGGATGTGTAACAGCCTGTTTGACCATGTTCGTCTATTCACCAGATTCCTGCATTTTTGTTGCGTCCTTCTCCACTTGATTAGAAGCTTTGTAATCCAACATCTTGGAGATGTAGCATACCCTTGCGCTCTGAGTTTGTGGGTTTCCAGGTTTATTTAGAAATGCAAGTACTAGCATTTCACGTTTAGAGTTGAAGGCATTTGCGGAAGATGAACAGTAAGAGGGAGGGCTCTCAGAGATGAGGAAGGACTAAGCAGACCAGCAAATCTCATGCTGCGGCGGCCGTCAACGAACAAGCTTGCATGAGAAAGTGTACCGTACATGTTTTTTTTTGTACAAACAGCCCTTGCTCGATGAACAAACAGCCCTTGCTCGAGGATCTGAACCTTCAAACTTGATTCATGATCCATCCATGCACTGCTCCTCATCGCATCCTCCAGGTGGAACCTTTGGTGGAACGAACCGGCCCTATGCAGGGGCTTGGGGCGAGGAGCAGCTTTGTTCGGTCATGTCGAAGCGAGCAAAGTGTCCAAGCTGAGTTGGAGAAGCTCTGGATGTCTGGCAGACTGGATGAACATGAGGTTTGTCTCCAATGGGCCCGACTACCACTGGGTTATGTATATACAATAGTTTATAGTTTATGTTTCCGGCATTTGACTGCCCACATCGGTTTTGGATACCCAGTCGAATACCCTGTGCCAAGCTGTTTGTAGTCTGCAAGGGTGAGGTTAGCTTTGTCAAGGGGTTCTTAAATTAAAGAGGTGGAGAGAGTTGGTCAACAACAACAAC